ACAGATAGGGAACCTGAGCCCCTGCAGCTTCTGCACCTGTCGCAGTTCGGGAGCCTAGAAGCTGCCACTGCCCAACCCGGATAGAGCAAGTGTAGTTGCTAGGGGGGGGGGGTGGCTAGTAGTAGTAGTAGTCGTCGTAGTCGTAGTCGTAGTAGTAGTAGTAGTAGTAGTAGTAGTAGTAGTAGGAGTAGGAGTAGGAGTAGGAGTAGGAGTAGGAGTAGTAGCAGTAGCTTCTCTAGCGGGCCTTGTGTCCTGCAGTTGCATCCCTAAGCTCGTTTGCCGGTGCGCGTTCGTCTCTGAACCCGACGCCCTATGTCCTTCTATCCTCGAGTATTGGGGCTTCGGGTCCAGGCTTATGCGTTCGACAGCCCAGCACAGCTTAGTTTAGAAGTGTTGGACGAAGCATTGCGGAACTCTCATCCGAATGGGTTTGACGTCTGGGCCCTGAACCCTAAACCGGTCCAGGATCTAGATGCGCCATGTGCTCAGACTCCTTTCGAACTTGAAATGCAGACCAACACCGTAGGATCACACGTATAACGACCGCAAAACCCAGACCCCTAATGTAGCCATTTTTTATCATTTTTTGAGTCCCTATTCACCAAGGTTCGCTAAGCTGCCTCCTAATTCTCTGACCCCACGGTTCCCCGCAAGTCTCAATCGCCATCGCAGGCTGTGTCTCTCGGCACATTCCAAGACCTGCTTTCCGAAGGACAGGTTTGCCAGTTCAGGTTTCAGCGAGGAGGCTTAGGGTTAAGCAGCAGTTTAGCATTTGAGTATGGGGCAAAATTTTGCCCGAAGGTTGAGGCACGAACCCGACAGGTAATGAACTAAAGACGAAACCCTATCGATACATAACCTCAGCAATTTCCTGAACCCTACAGATAACCGAACCGAGCTGAACTGAACAGACTCAACCGCATCAATAACCACAAAACAACCCTTACGCCCCTATAAATGAAGCAACAGGCAGACTAAGCCTATAAATTTGTTGCAATCACCCTAACCCCTAAACCCTAAACCCTAACTAAACCCTAAACCCTAAACCCTAACCTAACCCTCAACCGTCCGGATGGAGATCCCTGTTCTTTCTCCTTTTCCCATCTTCCGGTGTTATTTCTGGTGGCGGAATCATTAGCAAAGAAGGTTTAGGGTTTAGGGTTTAGGAAGGTTTTGATACGGATTCCTGTGGGTTGAAGAGGTTAGGGAATTTAAGTATGGGGGGTCGAAATAATTTGCGACAATAACCCTGTGCGTGGGTTATTTTAAGGGCCCCTATAGAATTCATGTAGAAAACCTCGGGTTGTATCGGGGTTGTCTCATGGATTCTTTTAAGTCTAGGGTTTAGGGTATTTAAGTATAGGTGGCGGAATAATGCATAGAAATATCTTTTAAGGTTCTCCCATATATATACATATATATATGTATCTTTATATTTTCCATATCTCTCTCTCTCTCTCTTTATCTGCCGCGAAAAACCCCAAAGCTGTAGTCTACTTTTTCTAATTGCTCAGGACCCTGGATTACATTATTAACTAGGCCCATCTAGCGGGTGCGTGAATTTGCATAGGGTGCCGCGGCGCATAGAGACCTACTCGCAGAGCCAAAGCCACCACCGCGAGCAAAACCCTACAAGAAGCATTTGCGATGGTTCGCGGTTTAGTGCTCAAGCCCCTAAACCCTAAACCCTAAACTTCTAAACCCTAAACCCTAAACTTCGAAACCCTAAACCCTAAACCCTAAACTTCGAAACCCTACACCCTCAACCCTAAACTTCTAAACCCGAAAGCCCAGACCCTACTCAATATTTAAGGGGAGCTTCCGAAGTCAGAAAGCCCCCAGCTAGTAGGACACGATATATATATATATATATATGTATATGTATATAAAGCTCACAAGCACAACCCGCCACTAGACAATTACCAACATGCTTCCTTAGGATTCCTTATCAAATATTTATACTATGAAGGAGCCCAAGACCCTATTCCTCAGGGTTCCTTATCATATATTTATACTATGAAGGAGAACAAAAACCCTATTCAATATTCCAATTATTAAGGCCCCTAGATTATCCCAGTAGACCCCAAACCCTAAACCCTAAACCCTAAACCGGAAACCTTGGTTCGGATAGCCCCTGTGAGAAGCCCAGGAAAGGGCCGACGGTCTGCAAGCATGCAGAAGTGGGCGGCACGTGAGCGTGGCGAAAAAGAGTGCAGCTTATCGGGCCATGTCGGTTCGGGTTTAGGGTTTTCCGAGGTGCAAGTATAGCTAAAGAGGGACTATGCTGGGAAAAAGTTACTAACTATTCAGACCCTTCTATGAAGTGGAGGGAGTTCGAGGGTGAAGCATGCTTGGCGCCGTTTGCTCAGAATTAAATGCCGATGTTGAAAAGTAAAGTTAGTAGATGCATTGGAGTACGTGTACTAGAGAACTTAGGGTACCGTTCATAAGCCTCGCAAAATTCGTTGGAACCCGCGCGGACCCCTTACAAGACCTTCCAAAACCCTCTAACCTCAAGTACACCCCGTTCAAACCCCCTGAAAGCGCTTAAGACAACCCTGCCGAATCCATTGAAGCCTTATTGAACCGGCATACAGAAAGCCACAGGGTTGATGATATAAATCCTGCATTACTCATCATAAGGAATATACCATAATTCCCCTTAGTTTAGGGTCCTTAAGGTTCAGGGCCCTAAACCCTAAACCCCTAATCGGTTTAGGGTTTAGGGCTTAGGGAGATAATGCAGGATTCATATCATCAACAGCAGGTGCTGACCATGGTCCTACCGAGACGGCAGATGACGCCTCAGGAACTAACTTCCCTGTGGGAGAAGGAGCGCCTTGCCTTTTTGTTAAGCACCTTGTTCTTGTTTGCGAAGGGTTTTTGTTAAGCCGTTTTTTGTTTGCGAAGGGTTTCAGGGTTTAGGGTTTAGGTTTTTAGTTGGGGTTAGGTTTGGGATCTTGGGTTTATGGTTTACAAAAAAAGTTAGGGGTTGTTTCGATCGGACATGGAAAAACCCCCGTGCAGCTCAGGTGGGGTGTGATGCATGCCACAAGGACGGCTCGGCATCAGCTTATGCAGCGTAGATTGGCCTTCTGCTTCAGATTTCGAAACCCTAAACCAAAACCCTAAACCCTAAACGGAATCTTTCCGATGCCACTCACAAGCGGCGTGCAGAAAGGTTTCTTGGAAAGAGGATATGCCTCAAACACTGTGTGGCAACACCAGAAAACTCTGCACCCTGATCCACGCAATGCGCCGCTATCGAAGTTCCACTGACATAGAAACCGGAATGAGTACCAAAAATTAGTCCTTTAGGGTTGTGCAATGTATACTTACTATAACATTGAACCCCCAAACCCAACTCTATTTACAGAGATCTCATTCGGAACGCGCTGCACAGGATCAAATTCCGATCCCCGCCGTCCTCGCCCTCAAAATGGCTGAGCCACAACGGTGACCACCTGCCACTGGCGCCAGTCGCACCCGAGCTGATACAGTTCTTCAAGACGGGTTTAGATCATACTACTCGTCGTGCTGGAAGGGTAGGTCTTCAAGCATTCGCCAACGTCTCTGCAAGCTACTTCCAGAAGCGAGACAGTCCCTTGTAAACAAAAGCAGTCTCGCACACCCTGAACGAGGTATACATCACTACAAAGCCCTACTTTGCAATCGTAACAACCGTTCACAAGCAGGCAAAATTTCCTAAACCTCCTCAATCCCATTACCTTAAATAACCATTGTATAGTCCTTATATGCCCCTTATATAACCAGGTAGTCCCCAAATTAACCCCAACGCTAAGCCTCTAAGCCCTACGCCCCAAAGCTGAGCTGAGGTTGTGGTGCTTGAGACGAAGGGCTTGGGCAGCATTCTGAGCCTTCCACAGCATTCCTACAAAATTACTAAAACTCTGTGTTTAGGGTTTAGGGTTTAGGGCTGAGTACATTCTGAGCCTTTCACAGTATTTTTACGGAATTTCTGGGGCTCCGTGTTTAGGGTTTAAGGTGCCGGACTCCTAAACCCCAGATCCCATCATCTGCAGAGCACCCCTGTTCGGGCTCTCGTGTTATGACAACGGTGACGATGATGATGATGATGATGATGAACTGGTGGCCATCTTGATGATGACGATGATGATGATAATAATGATGATAATAATAATGATGATGAGGATGAGGATGATGATGAGGAGGAGGAGGATGAGGATGAGGATGAGGATCAGGATGATGATGACGATAATGATGAGGATGGGGATGATGATGATGATGGTGATCTTGTGGCCTTGATGATGATGATGATGATGGTGGCGATGGCGATGATGGTGATGCTGATGTTGATATTGATGATGGTGATGATGATGATGACGAGTGTGGGCAAGAAGACCATCATTGTGACGACGACGACCACGACGACGACGACGACGACGCTGCTGCCGCTGATCCTGGCGGGGTGAAAAATATGATGACGGTTGTAGCGTTGCATACCGCAACAACCCTGTTCTAATGATGCTCAATCTTTGAGACTGTTTCGTTTTTGTGGTGTGAGTTTCCAAAAATTATGAAAGACAGCACTTGAAAAGGACTCCAAGACCGAGTAATCATTACGGCCCCTACTTGGACGCCCAGGGGACGTAGTAGGTCGGTTACAAGTAGGGTTTTAATTTTAATTGGGGTAACTCCAGTTGGTACCTATAACTCTACTTATATCCTACTTACTATCTCCCCTGGTCCTCCCAGTACATCCGCCGACTCAACAGGCCTGCAAAGCCCCATGAAACCTGCAAATAACCTGCACAGGGTATAGAACCCTATGCAGACACGCATGTTTCACTTACACTTCCTTTATAAACCCCCAGGAACAGATGCCTCATAGAACCCGAAATAGCCGAGACATCACCCAGCCCCGCTCCGAGCCCGAAATCCTCATACTGTAGGGCCTTAGTAAATCGTTGTCTTGGCTGGGCAACATTTTACATGTACATGTTTATGTGCACTTAACCTCAGTAAGAAATGTCAATTCAAATTATCAATACTATTTCAACAACGAACTAGAATTACAATTGGCTCTGGGGGCAGACTAGAGTGCACTCATCTTAAGCGCCCTAGAAAGTAGAATTTGTAATTATGCAGGCCCGTGTATTACGCCCTTTACACAGACTACTCGTAGTTTGGGTTTGAGGTTCTTGGGGCCTAGGGTGTAAGGATCCTTAAACCCTAACCCTCAAGCCGGGTTTAGGGTTTAGGGTTTAGTCTAAATCAAGGAAGAGAGCTTAATGAAGCGTCCCTGCTTGGAGGGTCGCAGGAATTAGTCATCTGGTAGAGTTGTAAGTGTCACAACCCCAATCAGGATCCCGCCTAGGGGAATTCTAGCTTTACTTGTTATTACCTTCTTTCTAAGCCTTCATTAAGGAATGTACCTTGCTTGAACCATAGTAAGCGTCCTACTATAGCTTAACACCTAATCCCTTAATTAAGGAACATACCTCCTGCTAGAATTTAGGGTAGATTCCTCAAGCAAGGGGTATGGGAAGCCAACGTGAGGAACTCTTTGGAGTGCGCTTTTCGCCAGCAGCGTGGCGCCCATGTGGAGACGCTGCGTCAGGGCCAGGACGCACTAATATTGAAGCCTGAACACTTGTAATACTCTTCCTTCGGGCTTCCTTATGTCTAATTATATCATAGAGCTCTCCCAAAGCCTAAAGCCCTATTCATTGTTCTGATTAGTAAAACCCCCCTTTCGCAGGGTTTTTGGGTTTAGGCGTGGGGCGGCGCGGTTGTAGGAATGACCCTGCTAACCCTTCGCACAATCATAGCCCCAATCGAGGCAACAGTGTGGAGAAGAATAGCAATAAACGCAACAGACGTGATTATGGCAAAAAGCAGTTGTAAATAGTGACGAAGCTGGATAAAGATACCGGCATGTCCATTATCAGCAATATGGGACTTCCTCTGAGAGGGACCTTGCCACATTTTCGCGGTGGGGATGAGTGGGCTTGAGGTTTTGCAGCTTGTTTTGAATCGAATTTGGGGCGATCGGTAGCTTCGGTTCGTGTTTAGGTAAGGTTTAGGGCTATGGAGGGAAAGGAGGAGTTCAATTGATGCAGACTGCAGAATCTGCGTCTCATGTAGATGAATTGCTCCACATGCCCTTCAATCTGATTAGGCGTCACCGAAACTACCAGGGTCTTGCAAACACCCTAGTTTAGGGGCCTAAATAATTACCTATATCATTTTTTTTTTTT